TACGAAGAATCTTCCCAATTATCAGAGCCGTGGGAAAGCTAGACTACTGTCTAAATTACTACTTTGATGGTGAAGCCAGACCAGTTTTTTTTTGCATTGGAATCGATAAAGAAGAAACAAACCACAAACAGTTATTATCCCAATCGATTGACAAGCTGTTATATGAGTTTGTATCTGATTCAAGAGATGATTTGAGATGTCGTTTTACATGGAATACTGGCTCTTTGTATTTATCCAGGTAATGAATAACTGATAAATTAGCAAAAGAAGACACAAATAAAGGGCAGGCCGATAAGTCAATGCCTTTTTCGATGGAATACAATATAACCAAATCATCAATCAAACATGGTAGAGTTGAAACGATATTGGCAGTTAAGGCTTCCACACATATGATACGGTATGTCTCGGTTATACGATATACCAGTCGGCGGCGGTATGGCGATATAGTTGTGTTAAATTATATTCCACTATCACAGTCACACAGAGCGTAATAATCCGCCGCGATACCGACAAACGGGTATCGTATCGCCGGGACATCATATCGCGTTCTCTGTGTAGGAGACTTTAGAGTTACATGAAAAGCAATTGGCTTCACTGTTTAACGAAATAAAAAAAAAAAATAATAATAATCCTCAAATGTGTAAATTTACTTGCAAGGGTTTCCTTGACAAAACTGAGGAAGGAAAGCAGTCAACAGGTCGTGGCCAAGGCTCCTCCAAGTTAGGTGTTTTCCCACCGGAAGTGGAGTTGTGGATTTATCGCTACCTGTTCGACCATTTAAAAGCTGTAGAACAAATTTTCTTCCCTTTTTTCAGAATTTACCAGTTGCCGACTACCCTTTGAGGCATTAGGACGTAATTTCGTTTAGCATCAGCTCACTGCGATATAAGAGTATTTTGACCGTAATGTTTAAAACTGGATGGAGTGTAATATCTAAAGTTAATGTTAAAATCAATACTCCTAAACAGATAATAACTAATCCTTTACTTGAGGAAATCCGTTCCCTAATATTTATTTTATATTTCATGTCATATTCCCTAATATGCCTTTTTTTTTCAACTTCTTCAACCTTTCCATTCCTGGTTATTATTTTAAATTTTTCAGTAATTTTAAGAATAATTGTTAAAATTATAAAACTTTTACTAATTTTTTATAAAACCATTAAGTTGATCTATATGCTGCATAAATGGATACTTTTAGCACTAATAATTATTATTACTAATACTTATTATAAATAAATTAAAAAATATATCTACGAAAATAGTCTGTATTTCCAAAAATATCACCATTCCGAAAATCCTAAAGGTTTGATAATTAACTATCATTTAATACAAATCGTTATTATTATTACGGTAATAATAAGTAACAGCAGAACTTTTTTTATTCTTGGGCTTGAAGAAATTCCTGAACTGAAAACAAATGGAAAACGGCAAATATAATTCTGTTATATTGATTTTTTTATTTTAGAAAAATGTTTGTTATAAAATGTCTATAGTTTGATATGGTTTATTGTTGATAATTTATAGGAGTAGGGTTATGAAAAGGGAGAGAAAAAAAAGAAAGATATGTCATATATATAAAAAAATATACAAATGTAATATAATAGTTATGTCCATATGGATTGATAAGTATGCTGTGTATGAAGCAACCCTATGTTGTAGGGCAGCATTATAAAGTATTTCTCTCAGGGCAATGATATAGAGCATTATCGGCCTCTCTCCCTTTGTTCAACCATGGCAAAAGTTTTCACCTGTGTCATCAAGCAAAGGTTCAGAAAAAGAATCATGGAATGTGTTGACGAACGACAAACAGGATTTAGAAAAGGATTTTCGACAGTGGACCAAATCCAGGCTGTAAATCAGATTATCGAGAAAGCAAATGAATACAACTTCTCTCTATACCTTTGTTTTCTTGACTTCAAGAAGGCATTTGATAGAATTCTACATGCAAGAATTTTAAGCACTGAGAACAATGGGAATAGAGGAAAAATATGCTACACTAATCAGAGAACTTTACAAGGAAATGTCGGCATATATCATGACAGAGAAAAAAGGTCAAAGCTTTAGGGTGGAAAAGGGTGTGCGCCAAGGGGACCCGTCATTTCCACTTTTGTTTATCATTGTGTTGGAAAACACAGGAATTAAAATAAATGGCAAAAGGTTAAGCAACTTACGTTTTGCAGATGACATCGTGCTTTTTGCCAAAGACATGCAACAACTACGGGAAATGATCAAGCAGCTTTAAAACTGGTTGCAGAAATTGGCCTTTATCCCAACTGTCAGAAGACTAAATTAATGACAAATAGGGGACAAGAAGAATGTAAAGTAAACAACCACAGTTTGGAATATGTAGAGGAGTATATCTACTTAAGCCAGTTAATATCCTTCGCAGATAAAGGAGCAAAGGAAGTCCAGAGAAGAATGGTACTCGGCTGGAATAAATTTTGGTTCCTCAAGCACGTTATGAAAAGAAATATAAGTATTGACCTAAAAAGATAGGTATTCGACAATTGTATAACTCCAGTGGTTACTTATGGTTGCCAAGCTTGGTCATTGACAAAAGCTCTAGAGAGGAAGATTCAGGAAATGTTGTTTAAATGAGATTAAGCAAGAAGATTGAGATAGGTAGGTAATTTCAAAAAAAGGTATCACGCATGATAAAGAATATTTTAAAGGAAACGGTTCTAGGAGAGGGAACATACATGTTTATGAAATGGGATCTCGTGTTGAACGAATGAAGTTTAAGACCTTGTGACAGAATGACATCGAAAGATGTATTATGAATGCGAGAAATTACTAGATAAAAAAAAAAATAAATAAAAAAAGAGGACTCACAGATACCCTTAGGCGGACACGAGTTAGCAAATGGAAATGGGCTGGGCATCTCCTTCGGAGCAAAGATAATAGATGGTCAAGAATGGTCACATACTGGACTGCATATGATATAAAAATAAGAAGAGGGTGTCAAAAGAAAATATTTCAGCAGTTGGCAGGACCCTCTGGTGGAGAGCTGCTAGAGACATGGATGTCTGGAAGGAGAAGTGGACGGAACTCGCATCCCAATCGGACTAGTCGCCCCGGGAATCGCTGACTATTACTCCGCAAATATTACTTCGTAAGGGAAGGCTAATACAAAGAAGGAAGATGGATAAATAAAAAAGAGAAAAATAATATATTTATTAATTTCTTTTCACACTTAAAGAATATACTTATTTAAATATATTATGTATTAATTTTTGTATAAATAAAGGCTATATCCATTTCATCATTTCATTTCAATTCGTACCAGCAATCCAGAAACATGAAAGTAATAATTTACAAAACTATACAACTTCCTAATGCTTACGGAAAGAGATTATTTCCCACTGGAGTGCGTGTGAAATCATTCTGTAAAAAATGTTATTTTACGAAACTTCAGAAAAATAAGGCGTAATAGCGCCCAGGGCCGGTTCAGCGACGAAGCAGAAGTGTTTGGCATTCAAAATTTTATAGCGTAAGTTTCTTGATGAAATAACACCGACTACCGTTGACAGGGTAACATTTGTTATCCCCATTTGTTATCACATTAATGTGTGTTAAAGTGAGTTAAGAAACAGTATGGGACCAGATCGTCTATCCTCACATTAATAACCATTCAATGTAATTTATTTATCTTAAGTTGCTTTGGCTAGAGTTAACTCTAAATGTTCTCACATATAATAAAAAAAAATTAGTGTTTTTAAAATTAGTGTTTTTAAAATTAGTGTTTTATTTTATCGTCATAAAAAACCAATGTCTTCCTAACTAGTAATATTTGTTGCAGGAGCCATGTATACTTAATTCACCTCTCACTTTCAGTCTGAGGGTAGGCCAGATTTGGCAAAATCGTGGATTTCTTTCATGATACATCACTTCTGTTTCTTTTTCCTTTACCTTTTAATTTCAACACTACTTCTATCGAATTCAGAGTGCTGGAAGATTTTATTCATTTGACGATATGGTACTTATCCCTTAAAAGTATAGATGCCTATAGGGTCAATCCATTTGAAATCACCCATTTGAATTGATTTTGTTGCTCGACATTTTTTATTACTATCATTTTTTTACCTACATTTTGTTACCAGTCATATTTATTTGAGAGTTCATTTAGAACATATGGAACCAGTTGAGCCTCAAAATCACATTCGTATCACACATTGCTATCATTAAGAGGTATAAACTGTATCAATTTCATAATTTTTCACTCAGTTTCTTTTGTGATATATAACATCGAAAATCGCCGAAAATCACTTTTGAGCGTTTTTGAAAATTCATATTTAAAAAAGGACAAGGTTTTAAAGATTGAAATTTCATCAGCAATAAGTAAAGTCGTAGGACTAAATATGAAGAAAAAATAGAGTTGACTCTTATGTTAATTACACATTTGCAGCCCTAAAAGTCACTTTTTTGTATATTTTCATGATTTTTCAAACTACTTTCCTTTCTTTTTAGGTGATGTGCTGATCAAAAGAAAGTGATAAAAAGTGAAAGTGATAAAAAAAATACTATCAATTATTTCAGTTTTTATTTTGGCTTAATATCTACAAAATAACCAGAGCTAAAGGCATTTTCTCAAAACATGTTTTCAGTCGAAAAGAAAATTAAAAATGGCCAGCGAGAAAAACTGTGAGCCTCAAAAAATTTTTTTACCCACGGTTTTGAACTCTCAAATAAATATAGAATAATCAGTAAAAACATTATAAAAATCAAAAATTTCGAGCAACATGGTCTAGATGATTTCAAATGGATTGACCCTATAATGATTAAAATATTGTTTTTATAAAATAGCGAATTACTATTATTATCTATTTATTTATTTATTATCTGAATTTGCCTCTACCCGATAGGGTCATTGGCAATTCTTTTAGTTACTAAATTTGTACAAAAATGTAATAAATTATTCTGTAAGTAGTTAGAACAAATTAAGAATATCGCATGCTCTAATCTGTTGCTGATATGTTGTTGTTGCTGCATAGATGTGGGATGGTGAGCTCAGGTGGAGGTATGCTTAGCCTGGTGGTGCTGGTTGGTGCGTTGCTGGTGGTGGGAGCCAGGAGTGAGGACAACCTGGTCGTCTCCACCACCAAGGGTCTCGTCCGAGGGGTCACTCTGACCGCCACCAGTGGCAAGCAGGTCGACGCCTGGTACGGGATACCCTACGCCCAAAAGCCCATCGGTAAGTTACTAATACAAGTAGACCATATATGTACAAGTTAATGTATCCAATTAGGCAACACAATATTAATCATTCGCGCAGACACTTACGAAATAGGAGCGAATATTAGAGTAACACGATAACAGTGTTTAATAAATAGAAGGGGATAAAATGAATAGAACGCCAAACATAAAGAAGAAACTCAGTAATCATACCTGCTACAAAAAGTTTATTTGTATTATATTATTGTTTATATATATATATATATATATATATATATATATATATATATATATATATATATATATATAATATATATATATATATATATATATATATATATAATATAACATAATATATCGCTACTGTTAGTGGTGTAAAAAATTGAGTGTTTTACGGGATAGCATAAAAACTGATTATTCTTCAGTCTTCAACTGCTATGAAACATATGAAAGGTAATTAAAATATCGTTACAAATCGTTTAAAACAAAAATCAGTTATTATGAAAACACTCAATTTTTACATGCGACCTTTAGCACTAACAGGGGCGATATTATTTTTGTCAGTACGCCATATCTTCTTTAATGCTCCATCAAATCCAATAATTGAACCACCATTTTGAAGATTATCTTCTCCTTCAAAAGAGTAAACGAAGAACATCCCTCAGAAAAATGAAGCAATAAAAATATGACGGTAAGGAAATTTTATTGGCACATGACTCAGAAAATATTACAACTGATGGTGTAATATATATATATATTGTGTTGCCCAAAATTGGTCTTGGTCTTGATCTTGCAATGTGCAATACCGCCTAACTGTTGTAAGACCAAGACCAAGACTGGTAAAAAAAAATCGATTATTCGAATAAAAATTAAGGTGAAATAGTTACTAATACTTGACAATTTTAGTTACTATATGTAAAGAAATAGTATAACCAATATGCTTTTGCATTTAGCTCTTCTAATTTTTCATTCGTGCTTAGTTTGATGTCTCCTATCTAAAAAATTACAGTAATATCTCTATATTGATGAGCTATAAGTAACTGCAAGATTGTTGCGATTGGTCATGCGCAAGACCAAGACCAATACTGAGTAAACAAGACCAAGACTCGTCTCGCATATGGACAACAATAGCATTAATAGTTTATACAATTTGAAAGGTTTTCAAGTTTTGCCTAAAATGTTACCATTTTTGAGAAGAATCAGCCAATTTTGTGCACGTTTTTGTATGTTCGTGTGAACTACTTTAAACGATCAAGGACTATTCCTCCCTCCCATGATACTACGAATTTACTTGTTTCCATGCAGTCAGCATCCTTGAAAATAAATAAGATTGTATAACAATAGTTTTCGGAAAATGTCAATCTAGAATCATAGATAATAAATGAAATCCTGAAAATATTCTTAAAAAACAATGGTTTAGACACATGATGACAGCGGAGAAGCCTTTTAGAACTAGAAAACACCTTATATTTGCCTTCTAAATCTAATTTCTGATAATTTGCTCTTCAAGACATCAAGGCATATGGATTTCTAAATAACCAATTGTTTAATTAAGCAATCTCTTGACATAAATCCAGGGGATGATTCCTGTAGAAGGTCAAGTACATACATACAATGCTAAATCCAGATTTTCTAATTCCCCATCAATTTAATCTCAAGCTGGTTTCCTTTTCGATGATTTCGGTGCGTTGTAGACTTGCGTCGCAAATGTAAATTGAAAAGCTATTTGAAGAAATTCGAAAGTTTATATTTCTATGTGACCGAATCGAATATTTATACATACTTTGAACAATCCTCCAGAGTCAAAATAAAAAAATAAACAAGATTGAAGTGTACAGTTAGGTTAGCCTTCGGCTAACACGGGAATCAACAACGGCCATGTTTGTTTTTATCGAGACCCAGTCTACGTACGGCCGTGGACCGGACGGGGTGCTTCAATGTTGAAACATTGTATTGAATCATTGTTGGAGCATTTAATTATTCATATCTACAATCAGAATATGATACAGATGATTCTTAATTTCACTTCTCTATTTGTTTCCTCGGGGAACGTTATGGGTTGTTTCATATTTAATAGTATTCAAACTGCTGTAGGGCAGTTATAAGTTGTTGAAATGAGAGAGCTCTTCGGCAGATCTTAGATCGAGTATGACTCAACTCGACTGACTGGAGGAGACGGCCCGGAGATGACGAGCTGGGAAGGGCAGAAGGTGGAATGCAGGTCACTACGGAGGTCGGTGAGGGCAAGTCCCCCATTCATGGGGTCATTGATCGATCTAAGCCGGAAATAGCAATGCCTCCTTCATAATACATCCTGTCACCTCTGCTTCCTTTAATGGCCGTCAGGGGCCGTTTCACAGAGCGGTTGTGAATGGAATGACTCAATGGCTCCTTTCTGCATCATTCAATCGATCGTGAATAATTTTACAAAACTGCAGGAAAATATAAAGATAGAGTTCATTGGTAAACTTATAAATAAGCCAAATCTTTATGAGACTGCGAGAATAACTAAGCAAACCGGAAGACTAATAATCTTTAAGCTGCGTTAAATTATTAGCAGCAGGGTTTCATTTGAAGAAGTTCTAGTGAAGAATGGAACAATAATATAAAACAATGACCAGAAATAATCTTAGAAGCTAAATAAAAATTTAAATTATAACCTATTTTTGGCGAATTTTAAAAAGTCCAATTCAGAAAGAAATTTCATGCATATCGCTCATATTCCACAACCTCATTTGATGTTCTAAATACTTTATAAATTTCAGTTAAACTAAAAAAACAGAATTTCAAAATGACAATATTTTTCTTGAGAGCTCAACAATGTTATTTTAGTTGAAAGTTCATCATTTCCATTTTCCTTGTATTACCAACTCAATATAAATTACAAAATATTGTTAATAGAAAATAAAAATAAGATCACTGGATATATATCAATAAAAACGTTTTCCATGAATCACCTCCTGATTTGGTGATAACAAATCCTCCTCCCTCTATCCTCCTCGTCACACCAAATCTTTCTTTATCTATATGTAAGTAAAATATTGAAATTAAAATGGTAAAAACCACAATAGTACACAAAAAATGCGCATCACACGTTGGTGACACAGGTGGTGATGTCACTTATTGTTACCTAAATCTCAAAAATATTTGTATTATTCTGTTTTTCAACTAACGTGAAAATGTATCAAATTTTGTGTATTTTATTTTTTTCCTACATTGTAATTTTTCTTAATGTCAGTTATAATAAATGTTCTTCTTAGATGCATTTCTTCTATATATTACAATTTAATTTTTTTTTTTACATTATGTGGTCTACGGTAATCCGTTAGGATAGTTTTTTAAATTATTATTATATTGCTATTCGTTATGGATCGGTTTCTTAGGCAAGAGTTATAACTGCACAAAAACTTCTTACAGATTTTCGTCAAGTAATTTTGTATCAATTTTATCCTGAAGTTGAGATTATTTTAATACCGACAGATAAGCTACTAACTCCTGGCTCATGAAGCGAGCCTACATAGTATCATCAAAAGTATGAATATAATGATTATTTTTTTCAGGTAACTTGCGATTCCGACACCCCCGGCCTATTGACAAGTGGGATCACATCTTGAATGCAACCCGACCTCCTAACACATGTGTCCAAATCATCGACACAGTCTTCGGCGACTTTCCGGGTTCCATGATCTGGAACCCCAACACCCCTCTTACCGAGGACTGCCTCTACATCAACGTTGTCGTTCCAAAACCGAGACCCACCAACGCAGCGGTGTTGGTTTGGATCTTTGGAGGAGGCTTCTATTCTGGGACTGCTACACTTGACGTCTACGATCATAGAACAATAGTGTCCGAAGAAAATATCGTCTTGGTTTCCATGCAATACAGGTTAGCGTCACTGGGTTTCTTGTATTTCGACACACCTGACGTCCCTGGGAATGCTGGTCTTTATGATCAGCGAATGGCTCTCCAATGGGTGCACGATAACATCCAATTTTTCGGCGGAAACCCTAATAACGTCACTCTATTCGGGGAATCGGCAGGCGCTGTGTCAGTGTCCCTTCATCTTTTGTCACCACTCAGCAGGAACCTTTTCAGCCAAGCCATCATGCAGTCTGGCGCAGCCACAGCGCCCTGGGCGATCATATCTAGAGAAGAGAGCATACTCCGCGGATTAAGGCTCGCTGAAGCCGTAGGCTGCCCCCACAACAAGTCGGCCATAAATGAGGTCATTGCCTGCCTAAGGACTAGGAATGCCACAGTGCTCGTTGAAAACGAATGGGGAACGTTAGGTATCTGCGAGTTCCCATTTGTACCGATCGTCGATGGAGCATTTATATATGATCTCCCATCCAAATCTATGACAACTGGTAACTTCAAGAAGACAAACATCATGATGGGATCAACTACAGAAGAGGGATACTATTTTATCATTTATTATCTGACAGAGCTTTTTAGGAAGGAAGAGAACGTATACGTGAGTAGAGAGGAATTCCTACAGGCAGTACAGGAGTTAAACCCTTACGTGAACAATGTTGCTCGACAAGCGATCGTCTTCGAATATACCGATTGGCTCAATCCAGAAGATCCGATAAAAAACAGAAACGCCTTAGATAAGATGGTTGGAGATTATCATTTCACCTGCAGCGTGAACGAGTTCGCACACCGGTACGCGGAAACCGGAAACAACGTTTACATGTATCTATTCACCCACAGATCAGTTGGTAACCCATGGCCATCATGGACAGGAGTGATGCATGGAGACGAAATCAACTATGTCTTTGGAGAGCCACTCAACCCTGCCATGAACTACCAGCCTTCGGAAGTGGAGCTAAGCAGGAGAATGATGAACTATTGGGCAAACTTCGCTAAAACAGGGTAAGTCGATAAGATAACTGTTCATAACAGTATCAAAAGTAAGTTTTGAATAACATTAATAACATAACTAATACAATACGTATTTAATTAGTTAGGTTGTATAATAAGTACGTAATATGCTGGTAAAGGCTCTTAATACTACTTTAGTGACACAATACGTGGACTCTCTTATGCACAATTGTAAAATTTAAAAATAAAAAAATAAGCTTGACTCCAATCCAAACCATAGGCATATGGCATAAGATTTTAATTTGGATTGGAGTCAGTTAACCGGCCAGCTTTTTTTTTATTTTTAAATTTTACAATTGTGCATAAGAGAGTCCACGTATTGCGTCACTAAAGTAGTATTAAGAACCTTTACCAAAATATTACGTACTTATCTTCATTGATTCTATCTATCCATCTGCTTTTTGGCCTTCCTAGTGGTCATTTGTCTTCTATTGAGGCATTCATTGCTACGTAGAGGCTTCCAGATGGATTGCTACGAGCTACATGCCCCGCCCATCTTAATCTCCGTGCCTTCATATCATGGGATATTGATTGAGTTAGCAGTTCCTGATTGTTCTTTCTTCTCCATGTGTTAGTAGTCTGATCCCAGATCGCTCCGGTTGTCGTGCGGAGGATTTTCCTCTCAAACCTTTCAACATTTTTTTCTAGGGTGTTGGTTAGTGTCCAGATCTCACTGCCATATATTAGAAATGGCTTTATCATAGCATTTTATACCCTTAGTTTGGGATTTCTTGAGATTTTTTCGGGATTTCAATAACTTAGAGAGGGAGAAGAAAGCTATCTTTGTGCTAGTTATACGCTGGTCTATTTCTGCTCGTTGGTCATTCATTGAGGTTATTGTGGAGCCAAGTTAGTTGAATTTTTCTACTCCCGGGAATGATTTTTCTTCAACGTAGATTCTGTTATTGGGGTAGAATTTTCGGATTATTATCATTTATTTTGTTTTGTATTCATTTGCTTGAATGCCGATCTGTTCTGCCTCTCTTATCAGTGTTGTAGCGAATTTCTCAATGTGTTCTTGATTACTTCCAAGGACTGCTATACCATCTGCGTATCCAAGGAATTTATGATTTATTCCGACATGGACCCCTCCATTTTTCTGTGTTGTTGTTCTTATTACCTTCTCCAGGGATAAGTTGAACAGCATCGGTGATAGTCCATCTCCCTGCCGTAAGCCCGTTCGAACTTTGAAGGCTTCAGATACTTCTCCTTGTATTAGGAGTCTACATTTGATGTCACTTGTACACGCCTTTGCCAATCTCACCAACTTACAGGGAACTCCCAGTTCAGTCATGATTATCCAAAGACAGCTCCTATTCACAGAGTAATAGGCTGCTTTGAAATCGATGAATAGGGCATGGACGTCATGAACTACTTCCCATCTTTTTTCGATTACTTGTTTTAGGATAAAGATCTGGTCTAGCGTGCTCCTCCCTTTTCTGAAACTAGCTTGGTGGTCGCCTATTATATTTAAATTAGTGAATAATGTGATGAATTTCCCTTTGTGAAATCCCAATATTATCCACTCACAATCAGTGCGACAACTTTTGACCTATCGATGGCAGTCAATGAAAATCTCGTAATTTCATTTTAGTAAACTTTACATTAGACTAATAGTCCAACAATCCATAATTATTTACAGGTTAAATATTTAGATGGGTCAGAACTATCTTCCATCAGGTCTATCTCAGCAGGAGTACCTCAAGGTTCAGTACTCGCTCCACTACTCTATATCACATACACCCATGACATACCTTGTAGTCCCAACATTTTAATAGCGACATATGCAGACGACACAGCAATTTTAGCAAGACACAAAAATCCAACATACGCCTCACAGACCCTACAACAGTATTTAACAAGATTACATGACTGGTTCAAAATTTGGAAAATCCGACTAAATCAAGACAAATCACAGCACATCACATTTACGCTTCGACATGAAACATGCCCTCCAGTTTTCCTTGACGATACACAGATTCCACAGACAGACACCGTTTACTACCTTGGTCTGACATTTGACAGAAAAATGACGTGGGGTCCACATATAATCAAAAAACGAAAAACTTTAAATCAAAGATTAAGAATTCTGAGTTCACTTCTTTCAAAAAATTCAAAATTAAAACTTAGACAGAAATTGAACACATACAATTACTTACTTAGATGTACTTTCAAATCACTCTAGGCCTATATATGAGACTTTCGGTTGACAGACTAAGTCATTCAGTAGAATGACAACCCAATTTCAACATTCTTTATTCAATCAACTTACTCACAGTCTGTATAGATATAACTTTTCTAACTAGAAATAACACTAAAATGACGTCACTCAAAAATGTTGAAATTGCAGTTAGTCTTTTTGTCAACTGAAATGCTCAGAGACTAAAATTATGTAGTTTATAAAAGCAAATGGAATAACTAGATTTTTATTTCCTACCGTCGATATAATAAATAGAGTATTTGTAATTTTAATGGTCTTAATGATTTGTTATCTGTAAGCTTTATGCTTTAGCTCCGTTTAAAATGCACTTCAAACATTTTATAATAGCCCAAAATTGCCATAAAATAATTTCTATTCAATGTAGAGCGGTAAGTGAAAGTTGTATGTTGCGCGAAACAGATTTTTTTTTTAATAATAGTAATTTCCGCTGCAGTAATGCATTTTGGGATAAACTGTTTATATTTTTCCTTGATATATAGTTATATCTTGTAGCTGAGATATATCTACTAAAAGGACCATGTATAGAAACAAATATGGACCAATGAAAAAAACAAAACTATTTTTCAATTTCGGAGGGGGCTACAGCCCAAAAGACCATTTTGAATCTGCTAGCGGATAAAAGATGATTATGGAGTGAATTAAGGGAGCTACAGCAGAGGGCCTTAGACCGTATGTGCGAGAAGAAGGGAAGCCCCTGAGGGTGTATTCCCAGCAATTGATTTGCCGCTGAAAGGAGGGGTTGGGAAAGTAACTCATTCAATAACGGAGCAGTGGATTCAATCCCTCCTACGGGACTACCTCAGGGAATATATTTCCTCCCAGGCTGTTTGTTAGCCAAAAGGGGGCATAAATTGGAGAGCTGAGCTTCAGATAGCGTTCGCTCGATATTCCTCTCTTGGATTTATAGTACTTATTCCCCTTCTACAGCAATACCTCCTTCTATAGAATACTATAATTATCCTTCCTGTCAATTAAACTGCTCTCTCAGCTCCTCTGCTTTTTCTTTTTTATATATAGATACGGTGCTATTAGGAAGTGTAATAAGAATTGGATTCTATTTTTCGAACTCTATAAAGTAATGCTTGAACTGACAAACCATATTCCAACTTTGGTAATTTATGTTCATCGCTAAGTAGAGAAATCGACAGTAAGCAGGGGGGAACGAGCGATCGGCATTTCCCCCTCTCTCCCAATAAAAATAGGAAGGGACGAGAATATAATTCCCCCTTCCAATATTTCATGGAACAAAAAATAAAAACCAGTAACAATTAATCTGCATATAAACCACAGGCGGATTTACGGGGGAGAGGGGCTTTCGGGCTGAAGCCCCTCTCCCCCCCCAAAATGGTAAAATGTAACCATGTTTTATGGTAAAAAATTATGTTTTAAAGTATTATTGCTCGTTTAATTACATTTAATAGGACTTCAAGAATCACTTAAACACCATTTCATATAGATAGTTAGTATCTTTCTGTTTTTCTAAAGTAATTATCGTTATATATGTCAAAAAAAAAGCTTCCGGGCTGAAGCCCCCCAAAATTAAATCCTGGATCCGCTAGTGATATAAACTAAAATCAATTAAGAAAACGGAAAAAGTCGATGGCAAATCCGTGACCCAGAAGAAGATTCACATGTATTTTACCACGTTCCTGTTATTGAAATTTTATTTTAGATTCAAATTCATATTTAGCAAGACATACTAATATTCGAAGTGTCATTTATGCGCACCCTTTCATTTTTATGTGAAAAAGTTGAAAAACAAATATTTCCTCAGGCAAAATTGAATTGAGAATTTGTCGCATTGCATCAAACCCTAAAATAAAAACATAAATATGTAATATATTCAATTTCTTACAGGCTGAAGCACCCTCCCCAAAATGGTAAAATATGATCATGTCTTATAAAAAACCATTAAGAAATTATCTCTAAAAGTATTTATTGTTCCTGTAATTGCATTTGATACCACTTGTAGAACCACTTAAACACCATGTCATATAGGTAGTTAGTTTCTTCTAAAGTAATTATTACTATATATTTAACAAAAAAAAAGCTTTCGGGCTGAAGTCGCTTCCTCCTCCCCTCGCCCCCCAAAAAAATGAAATCCTGAATTCACTAGTGATTGCTTTGTTAACATATTTTCAAATTTACCCACATGCAAAGAAAAGAACTAATATATATACACATAAATATAAATTTATTACTATATATATATATATATATATATATATATATATATATATATATATATATATATATATATATATTATTATATTGTTTGTTTTAAATAACTATGTTTGTTATGTTATCACTCATAATTTTTATAAATAATATGAACTCTGGAGAAATTTTTAGAGGGAGAATGGGGGTCGTCATCTCCCTCTCTCCCAAACAGAATGTAAAGTCTGTGTCTATGGACTTAAATAATAAAGGAATAATCAAGAAGTTTTCCAAGAACTCAATACTTCTATTTTCTTTTGATTAATCTTAGAATCTTATCAATCAATCATAGGATGAAGCATCTGTGACATTGTTTTGTATTGTCTAAGTCAATTGTAGGGTTCTAGATGTTTGTAATAATATAGTTTATAGCTGCAAGAATACGCTTGAAAACTGAGTAAATACAGTCCCTTTATAGGGTCACATTTGAAAAGAATCATTTGGATTTTATAATAAATCTGAGCATTGATGTTTGACGGATTTATAATATTTGTCAAGATATTTTTAAAGTTGCCAACTTTGTATTATAGAATACACTAATCATAATCTCTTGGTTGGAGTAAGGTCTTAAGAAGATAAATCAGAAAAGTCGTATTCTCCAACAGAGTTGAACTTTCTATGTTTGCTGGCTGTATTTACAGACTCTTATGCTTTATCCCCTTCTTGGCACCTGTGGCTTAGCTTTGTTTCTTTACTTCCACAAACAAAGTTAGGTTTATTCTACCAGATGTATAATAATTTCTGATTACATTTAACATGATGTAGTTAATGTCAAATAGAAACTATTTTGCAAAGGGGGAGTGATTAATGGAATATAAATATACATATTGAGGTCAAGAAATAATTTAAAAACAATGTTATTAAACTACTTGATGAAAGATCCAATTAGAATATTTAATGGTTTTTAATTTTATTTAAGAGCTCTTGATTGTTTTGTATTGATCAAAAAAATGAATTCAGTGATTGACTGGACTTCTTTCTAATGTTTATAAAATCAAAATAATATAAAATATAGTTATATTTTTGAAAAAAATTGGAATCTTCTTTTTCATGGCATCCTTGAATTTTGTATTAGTCCTTTTTGTCAACTCCACCAGTAATATGTGACTATGAGTCTACGTCACAAGGGGATACGAAATTGTACAAATAATTTTCAATCTTTGTCATAAAAATATTATACATCACTATTGTATTATGAATGTGATGCTTTATATAAAGAGAGAGAAACAGTATCATAGATAACATTTTTTGTCCAGTCATGTAAATGAGAATGTTAATTAGAAAATTATAAGCTTTGAAGGTTAATTAAGACACTACCGTTCAGGAACCCTAGTTTACTTAGCGATGGGTCTTGGACTTCAGTCTACTGGCCAGTACACACTGCTTATGGTCGTGAATACCTGACCCTTGGGATCAACTCCTCCCAGACTGGCCGTGGTCCTAGAGTCAAGCAGTGTGCCTTCTGGAAAAAATATCTTCCCCAGTTGATGGCGTCTACCAATGGTAAATCTGATTAGAAACTTTTTAAATATATACAAAATCTTTAATTTAATATATTATGACTATATATTCATATTTAAATTTTTATAATTAGCTATGCATTTAAAACTTAGGTTTAGTTATAAAAATAATTCAAAATGAAATTAGAATCCTTGAAAACAATAATAATAAAAAGAATAGCAACAAACATCAGATTTCAAAATCTTAAGGTCAGTTTAAGGAATTGCTCTCTTAAAAATTTAGTTATCAATTTTTATTTCTAAACACTAGCCAATAACATACAAAAAAAATCTTCTTATATAACTTTAGATCTTTATTTATTTAACAACATATTTTTTATGTTAATACTCAATAGTTTTGTAATTTTCAGCACAAGAACTCCATGCACAGCCTGTAAAGTGTACAAGTGGCAGCCAAAAATCAGCGATTGAGAAAACAGTGCTGTTGATTTTGATCTTCTCCCTCATAAGGGCCTATGTTTAACACCAACTTACAATATTGTAAATAAACAATAAACTATGTGAACATATCTGCCATTATGTGTATTATAATTATATATATATAACGATATATAGGCATATAGGTTCCTCATAAAAACGTAAATGTATTGTGTTCATAACACATTTAGTATTTTGAAAAAAATAAAGTAAATAGAAAGGCTGTAATGTAACAAATTCACTGCCTCTTCAATTATTTCATTATTCTAAAATTAGGGCTTCTTTTACTTTCTTGATAAAATATTCAAAATTTATTTTACGATATAGGTAGCACTAAAAATAATAAAAGTTTTTATAATGATACAGTTTTTTTACTTCCTCGCTATCAAAGTTCAAGAAACCTTATTTGATTACTTAACGATATCCAACATTATATTCTGGTGTATTTTATAAATTTGAAACCATAGTAGTTTTTTACAGATGAACGTACTGAATTTATGAAATATTACTGTACTATTTCTTTATTTAAAAAAAATAAAAAGTGAATGAACTAAAAAATTAAAAAAACGTTTTTCATTAACATTTAACATCTAACATAATCTCTTGTAGTTAATTACTTTTGTGAATTATTTAAGTAAAAAAATTAATTCATAAATATACTCATATTTAACTTAATAATTGATCATTTTTGATCTTCCAAAACATTTAAACACAGATGGATCTATGGTGGGAGGAGGTGGCTTTCATCCTGAAGTTCTCCCCAAAAATTATATCTTGGATCCCTTAGTGCATATAAATACTTCCATTAACTATTATTTTTGTCTTCCATGGTCTTCCTATGGTTACTTATTGTTAATTATTAATAATAATATATTAAAAAATATGGTCAAAATAACTCATATTTTACTCTTAGTTATGAAACTTTTCTGTCTATTTTAAAGTAATTTTTCTTGACAAATCATAATATAATTAATAGTCTATTATTTCTTAATAATATGTATAATTAAAAAATTGGTTTATGTACTTATCTAAATTAATAATTTAAAGTTCTTATAAGCTAGAATCAAAGAAAATAATATTGTTAATTGTTTGTAAAATATGTTAATGAATATAATATATCTAAAAATTATGATGAATTTTTAAATTACACCAAAATCCGGATATCTTAGTCATTATATTATTCAAAGAATTAAGAAACATTACTAGTCCAACATGCATTAAGTTTAAAGTGTGAAATTATTTTTATTAATATTTTGTAATTTCGATTAGTACTGAAAATAAATATGTTTGAATAGATCGATCTCAGAATGTTCAACTTTTCATAAATGTGTTATGAATACACATCAGATACTATAGAGACATATCGTTTTGTACATGTTACAATTGATGCACTTGATGTACATAAATGTCAATATTTGCACTTGATGTTCATTCCTTATGTAGACCTCTAATTGTTGCTATTGTTTTGTTTTATTTAGGAAAGATATTTTCCTCTTTCATAATGGGCTGCCAAGAAATTAAGTGAATTTTTATCAAAACCACTTAATTCAGTAAGCACACACGACTTCGTGGATATGTGAATTTTTAAACAATTTTAAATGATATTCAAAGTGAAAAAAATCTGTTTCAAACATACCAAGCAGAAATCATATCTTAGAAAAGGTAAGAAGTTTTTAAATATGAGTTTTTGAAGAAAAACTTGAAAAGTGAAAGCTGATAAATAGATCAGGCTTTTGCAGATGATTTAGATATTCAGAAAAGATAAATGTTTCTTCTGCCCATTAAAAATTACACCATAGTGGTATCTTATTTTAATGATTTCCAAGATTTTGATTCACATCTTAGGTAAATCTTATGAACAAAAGAAGGACGAAAATAAGATAAAACAGAGGAGTAACACCATGGAGGGTGCATGGACTGACTTAAATTGCATCATTAGTTGTTTGTTCTGACTGTTATCCATGATTTATAATTATATTCAACTACTACCTGTAGAATTTTTTTTTCTTTACCAGCAATGACAGTCATTATCCATTAAAAATAGTAAATACAATTAAAAGAGCATAACTTTTTAGTTCTTGTTAATGTTTATCTAAACTTGGAATCTGTGAGATATGTTTATTTTAAATGTTAAAATATTAATCAAATATTTATTTTTTTCATTTATATGCTATATTTTTTCTCATTTAATTGAAAAAAGAGGGACAGGTTGAATATCGCTACTTGTTAGGGTAAGTAGAGGTAGAAAGATTGGATATGGTCTCACAGAAACTTAAGTTATAATCCTTCTAAGGAAAGAGATAGTAAGGAGAAAGTATTGAGAAAGATGGGTTTTAGGAAATATTATTCATATGAATAGTGAAATAACCAACAAGACCTACTCTTTCCAGGTATTGAGAGTTAAAAAAATCACAAATTCATGTTCAGTCGAAATACACTTGGCAGCCCCTGAGATTATATTATGAGGAAATGGCGTAATTTATCCTTACATCACAGCTGTTTTGACAATATGATAGTGTTATTGTCATGTTAATGAGGGTTCGTCATGTTTATGTTATCACTGTGATTTGTTTTGAAGAGTCTTCATTTTGATAGAAAAATAACATTGCAATCAGCAGTCAAATTTTTTTTTTACTTTTCTGAATAAAGTTAATTTTCTTAGATCTTATTTTGTTTGAGTTTGCCTCTACAATTATATATGTTAAAATAATTATGTAGAAATTAAAATCCCATTTTATGTTCACATTTCTCTTTAATAACTATTTTAATCTAAGTTAAAACATTTAGGTTACTATATAATATAATATAAAATGCATAATATATAATGTAATATAAAATACATAAATATTTCAAGACATTATTATAGTACATTAAATTTTATTTTCTTACTATATTTAAGTATATTTATTTTTAAGATCTTAAAGTTGTTTAATTTCTTTTAAAGATAATTTTAATGTATGGAGTTCCAAAATCCATTAGTTTGAAATTCATGGTATAATCTGATTTTGTGTAATAAGGTCGTAAGAAATGCTTGATTAAACAAATAGAACATATTATTTTTAGGTATTCAATAACAATTATATTCATCCATTTCATTTTTATTTTTTTAAATATAATTCTAAAACAAAATTTCTTTCTGAAATATTTCAATTTAAATTATAGAATATATTACCAAAGTCAAATACTACCGAGTGCAATACTAAAGTCATCAAATGTTTTAGTAAAATAAAAGGACATCACTATTTTTATCTATAATTGATTAGAATATTTAGCAAATAAAATCTCTCTTGTAAATTGTACAAATATTTTGATATGAATCGTTATGTTTTGAATTCTAGTTATTGTCGTAAGAAGATATTAAAAATCACTATTATTGTTTAAATAAGTATATTCAACATTAAAACATAATTTCAGAATAACAATTATTTTGTAAATTGTAAAAGAAAAAAAAGGCCTTGATAAAAGTAAATAATTTATGTTTTTGTTTCAATAGAAAAACTTCCTTGTTTTAATTTATTGTATTGACCATATTTTTATACTAAAACATCAATAAATATTGTATGTGGTAAATAACCAATTCTGAAGAGTTCAGACAATTGTTAGGAGATCTAGTGGGCATTATTATGATTAAAATGATCTAATGTGTCTAAATAAAATTTATTTAATCAAAATATTTTATTCAGCAAAGCAAAATAAATTTGAGGAATGTAATGGATGTCCATGGCTCTATTAGACCAGTACTGATAACGAAGAGATCAAATACAATAAAGATGACAAAAGGAAACTTGAAGTTTAATCATCGGCTCTTCAAAATATCGCTTCATGTCGGCAATGATAGCTTTTATTAACAATTAACATATCATCAGATTTACTTAATTAAACCTTTATAGTCTATAGACTGTACTATAATTGATAAAATAAAATAAAATGTAAATATTTTATGTGAACAAAAATGCTTTAACTTTTATGCTTGCTATTTATTGTACACTTTTGTCAAACGATTGTTCAAGAATGGGCCATATAACTATCAATGCGTACAAAGACATATTAGATGTATAGTTAGTTATTCGCCTTTATGTACCAACTTCAACAGTGTATATATATTATATATGAAAAAAAGAGAAAAAAAAAGATAAGACAAATAGATGAAATAAATTATTTGTGGTTAGCATCATAAATATGGAAATTTTATTAAATATATTTCACAAATCACATTTGACAATTTATTATTTTTGTATAAGCAGATATAATTAGATCGCTTTAAAGATATTTAAAAAAAAAGAAAAAAAAAAGAGTATAACTGTTTTCTCCACTCGAATAGACAAATATATGTTCTATTCTTAGCATGTCTTTCTTTTTTATAATCTAAAGACTCCTATTAAATTACTCTTCACAAATACTATTATCTTAATTCAGACAAAAAAAAAAAAATATTATTCTGACTATTTGCTACATTCAAGAAGTAATATTTAAAAAGTGATTTTTGTATCAGAATGTATGATATATATATATATATATATATATATATATATATATATATATATATATATATATATCTAGTGCTACAAGTCCCTATGAAATGATTGCAGCAGCAATCAAATAAAATTTCTAAACAATATAAAAAGGGACTATTTAGGTTCCAGTAACTTAGTATCTGTACCTATACTTCTCATAATCACCATTTGCCAGAGTGTGTTAGTACAAATCACAAATTATTAAAAAAATTATATAAATAAGAAAAAAACAAAAAATGTACACATAGGATTCATTCATATCATCACGTACCTAGATAACTACGCTTTTGTATATATAAAAAAGAATATATGTAAATTTTTATGAAAGTTGTCTTAAGTTGTAATATTATGGCTTCTAAAGCAGTCAGTTCCATTTGTTGACTGTGATATACAGATTCTTATTATAAATTATAATATGCACTATTAGCTATAGGATATGATAGTTTTAAAATTACCTCTAACTTTTGTTCTTAGTAGAGGAATGGGATAATCTAATTCATATTTGGGCACTTAGAACAGGCACAGCTGTGTC